TTATCTGCCTTCCCTAACTAGAATGTCAGCTCCATAAGAACGGAAATCTTTATGATATGCACTGTGTCCCCAGTTTCCTGGCTCAAAGCAGGCACCCAACACATGTGTTGAATGTATAAAAGTGTTAAGCTTCTCTGATCTGAGCGCTGCCTCCTTTGAAAAGTGAGGAGGACATTCAGGATGCAGCCTCAGTGTTGCAGAGAGGAGCAAGTAAGCCAGCGTTTTACACCGGGCTGGCAGGAGCTTCTGCAAATGACAGCCTGTGTATGCCTGAGTTTCCTCATCTGTAAAGTGGGAATAAAAGTCCTACCTTGTAGGGTTGTTGTGAGGATTATCTAGGGAAATAGGCACAAAGCACTTAGACAGGGCCTGTCATGAAGTCAGCATTCAGTAATGTTGGGCATCATGTTGGTCTAATGAAAACTATCTCCTTCTTTCTTAGTCTTCCAGAACCTGTCTTTCAGTTCATTGTTCTATGGAGCTGAAGGAGAGGGCTGGAAGTGGTCCTGGGACACAAGTGGCCGAAATGTTGGTTATATTTGGGCTTGAGATAAAATGATCCTTTGAATACACAGGTCAAAATAGACAAACCATTTCCAGACCCCAACGCCTTTAAATGTCAACCTAGAGGGGTGCCTGGCTGGCTCAGTCGGTTAAGAGTCAGACTCTTGGTTTTGGCTCAGATCATGATCATGATCTGGTGGTTCGTGAGATCTAGCACTGAGTTGGGCTCTGCACTGACCATATGGAGCCTGCTTGGGGTTCTCTTTCTCCCTCTGTCTCTCTGCCCCTTCTATGCTCCTGTGCTCTCTAAATAAATAAATAGAAAAACAAACTTCTTAAAAAAGTTAAAAAAAATATCCACCTCAATTTCAGGCAGTCCTTCCCCAGCCCCAGTAAGAGCCCATGCCTTACTGCCCCCACCTCCCCACCCCCGCACCCCCACCCCCACCAAACAGACCTCAGAGTTTTGCTTCTTTTCTCTCTGTCCCTTCTCCTTCCTCTGTCTCCATCCAGGGCCTGAGCTATGGGTCCTCTCCATCTCAGCATTTCCCAGTGAAGGAGGCTCCCCAGTGGGCAGTGGAAGTCAGAATTCAAACTCTGGACCTCCTGGCCTTCCCATCTCAAACCCAGCTTCTTCTTCTTCTTCTTTTTTTTTTTTTTTTACAAATAGTTTATTGTCAAATTGGTTTCCATATAACACCAGTGCTCATCCCCACAAGTGCCCTCCTCCATGCCCATCTCCCCTCTCCCCCCCACATCCATCAGTCCTTAATTTGTTTCTCAGCATTCAAGAGTCTCTCATGGTTTGCCTCCCTCCCTCTCCCCCACCATTTCACCCCTTCTTCTCCCCCATGGTCCTCCGTTAAGTTCCTCCTAATCCTCCTAGACGTGCAAACATATGATATTTGTCCTTCTCTGCCTGACTTATTTTGCTAAGCATAACACCCTCAAGGTCCATCCATGTTGCTACACATGGCCAGATTTCATTGTTTCTCATTGCCATGTAGTATTCCATGGTATAGATAAACCACATCTTCTTGATCCATTCATCTGCTGATGGACACTTAGGCTCTTTCCATGTTTTAGCTGTTGTTGAGAGTGCTGCTGTGAACATTGGGGTACATGTGCTCCTATGCATCAGCATTTCTGTATCCCTTGGGTAAATTCCTAGCAGTGCTATTGCTGGGTCATAGGGGAGTTCTATTGTTATTTTCCTGAGGAACCTCCACACTGTTTTCCAGGGGGGCTGCACCTGTCAAACCCAGCTTCTAAGGCCTGGTAAACTTCACGCTCTGTTAAAAGCAGGGGGCTCATAACAAGCATGCTCTTAATACATATGGAGTAAATGGATGAGTAGAAAAAAAGTAGAAAAAGCCCCTGCTTTGACCCTCACTTTTATTTTTTAATTAAAAAAATTTTTAATGTTTATTTATTTTTGAGAGGGGGCAGAGAGAGAGAATGATAGAGGATCTGAAGTGGGCTCTGCACTGACAGCAGACAGTCCAATGTGGGGCTCGAACTCACAAACTGTGAGATCATGACCTAAGCCAAATGTGGACACTTAACCAACTGAGCCACTCAGGTACCTTGACTCTGACCTTTCTGTAAATAACATCTTCAGCCTTCAGTTTCCTCATCTCTTGTGGGGACTACACATGCCTGCCTTGTCATATAGAACTGTTGTGAGACTCATTAAATCATTAGTTCTTTGGGCAAAGGGAACTTGGAGGTCAAACAGTCCAAGTTGCTTATTTTTCCAGTAAGGAAGCAGAGCCCTGGAGATAGGGTATGAGTAGATGTAGAGAAACCTAATGTAATGAATTGCTTTCTACCAGCTGAGTGGCCCTGGAAACCTGAAATCTCAGCTGGATTCAGTTACTGTCAGTCCATCCACCCAGAGGGCATCGGAGCCTAGACAGGGGAAGTGACTTTCTCAGCTCCCCCAGAACACTAGGGCAGAGCTGGAAGATGGGGTTCCTGGTTTCCCATCCAGGCCTCCTTCCTGCTATGCTGACAGCACCAGGAAGGGAAGTACCCAGGGAGCATGGGCACCAGTGGCTGCTGGGTACTCCCTGCCCCTGTAGCAGCTAGCTGAGCTTTCCTTATGGGACAGAGTCCAGGAGCAGGCTAAGAGAGGTAAGGCAGGAAGGAGGTGGGGCTGCCCAGGAAGGTAAGGCAGTTCCTCTCAGTGGACTCCCAAGGTGGGATGGTACCTTGGCAAAAATCACAGGGGCCCTGACCTGGCCGTGTGGTACAACCAGGAGACCCTATCCCTCATGGCTTTGGGGCGATCACAAGTCAGGGGCTGGTGCTGGGGACCCATGATAGGTGGAATGGGGTTCCCCCAACTTCCTGTTGGCTCAGCCTCCCCGCCTCTGTCTATGCTGTGACAGGCAGACTTACCACGCCTGGGGATTTCTCCCTGGCTCACTGATGACACCACCTCAAGTCTCCCGTGTCCCTAAACCCTTGCTTGGAGTTTGTAAGCAATGACAGAACCCCTCTCAGATTCTGGTCAGTTCTGAATGTCTTAACCCACAGTGTCTTATACAAAAGTGTATTTCCTAAACTTCATTCATTTACCACATCCATGATTTTTGCTATAATAACCTAACCTATTAAATATATAAATAACGCTCTCTTGAAAAAAAAGGGGGAGGGGTTTTGCACCTGGGTGGCTCAGTCACTTGAGAGTCTGGCTCTTGATTTTGGCTCAAGTCATGATCCCATGCTCTGAGCTGAGCATGGAGCATGCTTGGGATTCATTCTCTCTCTTTTCTCTCTCTCTCTCTCTCTCTGCCCCTCTCTCCTGCTTACAGAAACTTTGTATTACTCCTGTAAATGAAGAAACAGTATCAATTGCTAAACAAATACAAAAACAAATACAAAGAGATTCTTGGTTTCTGGTGCCAGGTCCCAGGTCTGGCTCCAGTCTTACTGACAAGTCATGTGCTCTTTCTGGGCCTCTGTTTTCTCTTCTGTAAAATGGGATTGTTGGGAAATACTATATACAAGATGCCTGGCTCTGAGCTACCATGGAGCAGGTCAGAGAGTTCTGGGCTGGTATCGGGTTCTGCTGGTGCCGACACCATCTTCCCTCTGCTCTAGACTGGACCCCCTTCTCACTTTAGGTAGGACAGGTGGCTGTAAGAAGATTGGGGCTTAGATATTGAGGATGGCAGAGAACTCGGGGACCCAAGGTCCCTGCCTTCAAATCTCTGACTGGCTTTTATGGGTTAGAGGCACAGAATGCTCCCGGCAGCCCTAAAGGCCACTAAGAATATCCTTTTCTTGGGGGCAGTGAGGTCTTTGTCCCTGAGGGCATTCAACATTGCCGAGAGACTTGGCAGAACATTGTCGCAACTCAAGCTCAGTCTGGTTCTCAGGGAAAGGGGGCAAATCTCCCCTGCACATGGGGGCCGATCCCTGGGGAGCATGGACAAGGCCTATAGTGTTCAGCATCAACTCCTGTCCACCTCCCTCACATTCATCTAGAATTTTAGAGTTTCCTGCGCACTTTTCAACCACTGTCTCATAGGACTCTCCCAGTCAGTGGTGAGGGAATCCAGGGGAGGCAGTGACTGTCTGCTAAGGAGCAGGGGCATCCACAGGGACCAAATGACTTGTGCAAGGTCACCAGGGTGGAGTCTTGAACCTGACTCCTTTGCCTGGGGAAGTGTGGCTCACTCCTCTGTCACCCAGGAGGCTAGTGGCTGGGACTCTGGCTGCAACAAGTCAGCATGAACCCTGCCTGGCCCTTTCCTTCTCAGGAGAAAAGAGGTAACAGCCTCTGTCTAGCCGAGGCTCCCCTCTGGAAGCCACCCCTCCTAGGTCATCCTCTGCTTCCTTTGACCCGGGTGGAGGAGAGAACCCAAGGGCAGGGAAGAGAGCTAGCAGGGAAGAGCGCTGGCGGTCTGGTCTGAATTGGAAAGGAGAGAGGGCAGGGAGAGTCAGACAGACAGGTGGACAGAGACAGAGGACGCGTGGATAAAGATGAATAGCGATGTGGAGAGACCCCAAGAAAGGTAGACAGACACAGATAGACACAGAGAAGGGCAGGAAGACAGAGGGCAGGAGAAAGACCCACAAAGAGACACTGAACGAAGTTAGAGCCAAAGAGAGACAATTGGGCTTCGCGTGCACGGAGACCTGAATCCGCCAGACCTCGCAGAGGGGGAGGCAGAGGGGGTCCCGGCGGGAGGGAGGCTCGGGGGAGGACAGGGACCGGGAACGCGGGGAGGGGAGGGGGCGGTGGAACCAGCCGACAGCTGCGGGTCCCCGCCGTCCCTCCCCCCTGGCGGAGGAGCCGGACGGAGGTGGGGCGCCCCGCTTCCCGGCAGGGGGCGCCCTGGCCGCGCCGCCGGGTCGGCCAGCCCGGCTCTGGCCGGGGGCGGGGCGGGGGCGGGGAGGGCCGGGGCCCGGGCCGGGGGAGGGGGCGGGGGCGGGCGCGGGGGAGGGCTGCCCCTGCCTCTCTCCGGGCCTCGCGGCCGCCTTTATAAGCCCGCGGGGGTGGTGGCCCCGGCAGCGTCGCGCTCCCGCCACTCCGAGCCCTCGGTCCCCGCGCACTGACCCCACGTCACTTGTGCCAGGACAGACCTTCGCCCACGAACCGTGCTCAGGTAAGGACTCGATGCCATCCCTCGGCTCTCCGGGACCCCCGGGGACGTGATTGATCCCAGGCCCTCCCACATCCTCCCCTCGTCCGGGGTTGGCTGCGCGAATGGATGGCAAGGTCTGCGCGCGGACCTCCGCGCCTGCACGCCACCCGGGGCAGCCCAGTCCGGACCCTCATCCACCTGTCCCGCTCCCGAACCCGTGCGCATCCGGGGCTCTCCGCAGCGCGCTGGGCCAGGCTGGAGGTTGGACGTGGCGCCCACGGGGACCGCGAGCTAAGGGGTCCACACTCGGGACCGCCGCTGCAGTCCTAGGGGCTCCCGCCTCCGAGGTCTCTGCCAGGGTCCTACACCTGTCTGCGCGCCTCTCCCCGGTGTCCCGTGACCGCGCTGCCCTCGTGATACCCCCCTGGTGCGAGATCTAGAGACCCAGGCTGCCAACCCCAGCACCCTGCCTGGTGTCTTTTCATGCCTCCCACCGAGGAACGTCTAGATCGCGCTCAGTCGCTTGGGGAGGAGGCTGGTGTGTCCCTGTGGGGTCCATAGTAGTTTGGGGCAGAGCTGGGATGAGCAGAGGGAGAGTGGTCCCAGAGCCGCGTGGTTGGGGGGAGGAGGGAAGAGGGGACATCTGGCGTGGGAGTGTTTGCTGGGAGTTGAGGTGGGCACAGCAGCCGGGGGCGGGGCGGGGGGGGAGGGGGGAGCAAAGCCCTGGAGCCCTGGAGGCCGAGGGAGCCTACCACTCACCTCTGGCTGCGCCCAGGTAAGTGAGTTGCCTAGTGTTGGTTCCTATGTCCAGTTTAGGTTAAATACACGGTCACAATGGTGGAGGAGGAAGCTGAGAAAAGCCCCATCATTGTCCCTTCCGACACTTTTCCAACACATAATGGGCTTGGGGGAGGGGGATCTTTACAAAGACCTCTGGGTGGAGGAGGAAAACTCTGGAGAGCAAAAGAGGGGGAGGGGGATTCTCAGGCCAGAAAGGGCTTTGGGGCCCTGGGGAAAACTTCTATAGGTGGGCAGGTCTCCCAAGGAGGCAAGGGTTGTCTCCCACACTTAGTGAAGATGGCATTGGACTTCACTGAGGGCCGCTGTGTGCCAGGCCTGCTCCAACACTTCACATACATCATCTGGTGTACTGGTGGGGAAACTGAGGCTTACAGAAATTAAGCAAGTGAGAGACCGGGATTTGAACCCAGAGTTCCAAGGCTCCATCCCTTCCCATCATCCAGACCTGCCTTCTCCAAATGTTCAGCCCTCCCTGCCACTACTACCTGCCCCTGCCCATCTGGTCCCCCTGCCTCTTTTCTTCTTTCTGAACTCTGTCTCTCAATTTCCTAAGCAGAAGAGGCCCCTGGACATGGCTTCCCAACTTCCCAGCCCCTGGAGTGAGACAGGCTTTGTGACTGTGGCACCCCCTGTAAAATAGGAGTATGCCTTTCTTGTAAGACTCTTGTGAGGAATAAAACTGAACTGAGCCCAGAAACTGCTATCTTTATTCAACAAATACTTACTAAGCTTTGCGCCAAGCCCTGTTCTGGGTGCCAGCAATGGAGCAGGAAAGAGAATGGACTAAAGCCCTCTTTAGGGAGCTGGTATTCTGACTTTCCCATTGAATCGCCATCGAGTAATTCACAGGAGAGGAGATGAAAATGCAGTAATACGAGGGCTGCTGGGCAGCTCAGTCGGTTGAGTCTCTGACTCTTGATTTCAGCTCAGGTTATGATCCTAGGGCCGTCAGTTTGAGGCCCGCGTCAGGTTCTGGGCTGGGTGTAGAGTCTAGTTGGGATTCTCTTCCCTTCTCTCTCTCTTTCTTCCCCTCTCCCTTCCCCCCTCCCCTCTCCCCCACTCTCAACTAAAATAAAAAAAATTAAAATGCAATAACATGTATAAAATTGATTGGCCAAGAGGCACCTGGGTGACTCAGTCTGTTAAGCATCTGACTCTTCGGCTCAGGTCATGAGTTCCAATGAGTTCGAGCCCCACACTGGGCTCAGCACTGACAGCTCAAAGCCTGCTTGGGATTCTCTCCTTCTGCTCCTCTTGTGTTCTCTCTCCCTCTCTCTCTCTCAACATAAATAAACTCAAAAAGAGTTTTTTAAATTGTTTGACCAACATTTTAGTCTCACTAATAGAAAAGGCAGCCTGGCCATGTGACCTGAGACAAGTTTTGTCCCCTGCTGTGCTTCAGTGTCCTTTAAGCTGAGGACATCAATAAAAGGTACCTACTGGTTGTTGGAGGCACCTGCGTGGCTCAGTCAGTTAAGGGTTCCACTTCGGCACAGGTCATGATCTCACGGTTTGTGAGTTTGAGAGCCCCATTGAGCGCTGACAGCACAGAGCCCTCTTTGGATCCTCTGCCCCTCCCCCCCCCAATCTGCCTGCTCCTTCCCTGCTCATGCCTGTGTGCTCTCTGTCTGAAAAATAAAACATTTGAAAACAAAACAAACCAGTACCTACTGGTGGTGAGGTCTACACATAACTACAGCATGCAAGGTGTTTAGCCGGTGCCTGTACTTAAGAAAATATTGGTGGGGCGCCTGGGTGGCTTAGTCGGTTGAGCGTCCGACTTTCGCTTAGGTCATGATCTCATGATTCGTGGGTTTGAGCCCCGCATCAGGCTCTGTGCTGACTGCCAGCTCAGGGCCTGGAGTCTGTTTCAGAGTCTGTGTCTCCCTCTCTTTCTGACCCTTCCCTGCTCACCCTGTCTCTCTCTCTCGCCTAGAAATAAATAAAAAAAACATTTAAAAAAATTTACAAAAAAGAAAAAAAAATATTGGCTATAATCAGCTCTAATCTCAGCAAAAAAATGCAACTCTGACCCCGGGTGTGAGGTTACATCACTGGCCTTGAACCCTGGTCACCCAACTTCGCCTAGGCTCAACCCATTCTCCGACTAACTGCCCTATAGGATGGCATTGTGGCCTACCATCGGAGATACAGCCTTGGTCAGGAGCCTGGAGCTTCGTGCCCGGCACAGGCTTGGGGCTGTCATCTCTGCAGTGCACCCCGCCCTCTGCCTGTTGTGCCTTGCTGTGTCCTGTCCAGCTTAGAAACCAAGCTCAAGTCCTGCTTGTCCCTTGGCTTAAATATCCAACATTCCCTGCAAGCTAGATGCTGTCCTGGATTTACATATGAAGACGCTGGTCTTAGAGAAGGGAAGGGATTTGCCCAAGGACACACAGATGCTACCTGGGGAGCTGGGGTGAGGGCCCAGGTGACTGAAATTCCAGGTCTGGTGATGTCCCTGCTGTCCCCATCTCTGGGGATATGGCCCTCTTAATCCAGGAGTACGCTCCAGCAGCACAGCTCAGAGTTCTCACCTTGAAACCGGTCCGATTGAAGTTAAGAATACAAATCCCAGAGCTCCAAGAGTTTCGTGGGGAGAGTGAGCAAGCGGGGCTGAGAACCAGTGCTCAGAAATCTTCCTGCGTGGCCACAGGAATGCTGACTAAGCTTCCCAGGGCAACGTAGTCACAGGCAGGCTGGAGCTAGGCTGGGCGGCATGGCTGCTTTTTTTTTTTTTTTTTTTTCCCCCTTCTAGAGGTATCCTGACATTTAGAGGGCAGCTGGGGGCAGTAGATGAGAGGTTCATTCCCAGCACTTTGTGACCCTGAACAAATCACTTTCCCTCTCTGAATCTCAGATGAGGAAATCATCTGCAATGTGGGTTAATAATATGTACTTTGCAGCTGCTATAAGGGGCCAGCAAAATCATAAATGGTTTTCAGCACTGGGCTGGGAAGTGTTGGTGGCTTAGACATTCCATTCCCATGGCATTTTCCTTCATCACTAGTAGGTGATCCTTAAAGGCCAGAGGGAAGGCCCTCTTTAGGTTAAAAGGACTAGACAACAGGGAAAATATTGGCTTTGGGGTTGGCATTTTGGCTTCCAGTCCTAGCTGTGTGACCTGAGGCAAGTCATTGGCCTCTCTGAGTGTTGGGTTCACAGCCCTCAACAACTGTAGAATGTTCAGTGTCCAAAGAACACGCAAGAGTAGTCTCTGTATTTTCCACCTCCCCTTCCCACCCCCCAACATTTCATAATTACTCCCAGAAAAGGTTCATGCTTAAAGTTTTCCAACCTCACTGTGGCATGAAATCAATTGTTTGCATTTAATTTGACTTCTCAAATTAAGGGGTAAAATTTGAGATGAGGGTAGGGGGTTGGGGGAGGAGAGAGGAACATGAAGTTAAACCAGATGTGTTTTTGTTTAACTGTCGGATGGTGGTTAAACTGCCTGAGTATTACCCTTGTTCTTTCTGAATTCCAGTAACCAGGAGTCAGGTTTCACTAAAAATTGTAGTGTTCCTTCCCAGCTAATGTTAACTTGTCCTCCCCATTATTATTATTATTTTTTATTCATCTGAGGCCGCAGAGTACTGACCAGTGAGGATACCTCATAGATGCCTGGGATTTCAGGGCTGGAAGGTGTTTAGAAGCTGACTCAGACAACTGGCTGCTTTGCAGACCAGGGAGACTGAGGCCCAGAGAAGGGAAGAGGCTTGCCCAGGATCACTCAGCTGCATAGGGCAGAGTTGGAACGGGATTTCAGTCTCTCTGCTCCAGGTCCATTACTTTTCCAAAAGTAACCACTGTCTTGAATTTGGTGAGGGGGGATGCAAAGGGTGTGGGTTTGTAGAAAAAGACTCTGAACTCTGGAGAGCAGAGCTGATAGGTACCAGTGTGACCTTGGGCAACTCACTTCCCCTCTCTGAGCCTGTTTCCTTGTCTGGAAGCCAAGACGCCTGACTTCTCCAAGACTTGGAATGGGTCTAATTCAATCAATTGGCCTTCAAATATTTATGGCCCAGGTAATGGCAGGTCTGGCACAGACTGCCCTCCAGAGGTGGCAGGGGGCAGCCATGGCAGATTAGTGACTCCCGCAGTGACTTAAAAAGATTGATTTCATTATTGCTGTCATTCAGCCAGTGACTTCATTTTACTTCTCTTGAAAGATCAGAAGATGTGGCCAAACCGGGCCGCATCCCTGCCTGGCCACCACGGCT